TGTATTTGCTTAATTGTTTGCAAAATGTTTGAGGTGTGAAATAAACCGCAATGGAGCAAAATATGGGTGCGTGTGGTTGGAGGATGTGTTCGTGCGTGCGTGTGTGTGTTTTACATTTTTCTTGTAAAACAAAGGGGGGCCTGGCAAAAAAAGTTTGGGAACCACTGCACTGATCTATGAGCCATTCAAGCATAAAAAAAGCACCAAACTCAAGAAATAGTTCAGTTTTGTCTACACGCAAAGATCCCATTTTAAATTGTGTCTTAGACACTTTGTAACTTGCACCCTGTTGCAAAAACACACAATTTGTTCCCATTTCTTTACTTGAATCCTTCCAAAATGACAGCAAACATCCAGCAAAGACCTGAGAGATGCATCTGACTCTTCAGTTATATCTACTGTTCACTAAAGAAATGGTCTCAGTGGAAAATGGCTGTCAGGAAGCCATTCTTAGCAAAGGAGGGGGGAAAAGGCTGAGGTATGCCAAATTACAGAATAACTCGAATGCACATTAAAGGCAACTGGTCTAAAGTAGTGCTGAATCCAATTTTGAAGGTTTGGCTACAATTTGTTATCAATATTTGCAGGAGTACATGGGAGGTCACAGGAGAGTTGTGGCTATGGGCATCTGTACAACCTGGTGGAAGCTCTGTGATGGTTTGGAGTTTCATTTCAGCTGGTTTGTTGGAGATCCTATGAAAACAGGTGATATTGTAATAACTGTGAAAGCAGCTGGGAACAGCTTCATTTTCAGCATGACAGCATGGCTCAAGACTTTTGCACAGTGCTGTATGTAATAATGGCATTCATTAAATTGTTATTTGCAATATGCAAAGAGGTCTCAGTTTTTTGACTAAGCATTGACTAAGCATTGAATTATGCAAAATATTCAAACTTGTACCCACTAAAATAAACAGCTTGTATACGTTTATATTTATGTATTTATCTATTATAAACTACTCTTTTAGTTTTTAGCAGAAAAACAACATTATAATAAACGTTTACTGTCATGGCGTTCAAAATAGAAAAATATAAAATAAATGACAACTGCACAAACTTCATTTCCCACAAGACATTGCGGCACACAGGGGGTGCGTTTAGTGTCTGAGGGGGCGGGGGGAGGTCGTAAACTCAGTTTACCCTTTAACCTTTCTGAGCGGGCCAATCAGAGCGGGAGCTACGCTGGAAGTAGTAAAACCAGCCTGTTTGGACTGACAACCGGTTTCACCGAATAGAAGCGCGGGAGCCGCCTTCGGTGCCCAATCACAGTCGAGCTAGGCGGAACTCTTGTCCAACAGGGCATCGGAGGAGGAGGTGTTCCTGGTAGCCATCTTGGATGTGCGGAGTGATTGTTTAGCGAGAAGAATTGACATTTTTTTTAAAGGAAATAACCCTTCGTGGTGAATCGCTGAAGATTTAGCGGAGTGTGGCGACTGAGGAAAGCACTCGCACCTCGGAAAAATCCAGGTAAAGTGACGGTCGAGCCAGAAGTGATGAATTTGTGTGCCTTCCCCCTATTTTCTCTCTCCCCCCTCTCCAAATTGTGTCTCCCACATCAAATAGCGCAGCCAGTGGGAAGCTGCAGCTCTCGGTACTGCCAACAACTTCAAGTGTGCGCGTTTGCATTAGAGTCGGAACTTCCTCTGCCGAGCCGCGGTGTGTAACGCGAAGTTGAGTTTGTTTTGAAGTGTATGTGCTGGGCTGGAGCTGCTCTCAGAGTAATGATGCCCGCATTGTTTGTAAACATCCCGGGCTAACAAATACTACTCCCTCGGTGCACAAACGCCACCTGGGTGTCTGCTCAAAGCCTCTCAAAGAGCAGCCCGGCTGTCAGACACGGTCATAAAAGGCTAGGCGTCCTCTGTTGGTCCAAACTTAGTTCAGTGTGGACAGGAAGGGGCTGTCTCCAGATGTGTGCAGATGTGTGTAAAAAAAACTAATGCTGGAGCTTATTTGACAGTGTTTCTTTATTGTAGGTTCAAGGTTCTTTATTTGTCTTTATTTGTAGTTCTGTTATTCAGACTAGGACTCAGTTACTAAACAGTGAGGCTATTTTAAGTCGGAGTCCAGGTTTCCCGCAAAAGTTTTGATCCCAGAAACCGAGTAGAGGACAAAGAGTTAGCAAATAAGCACACACAGCTGGGAGTTTAGTTAGCTAAGGTGGTTTAATGTGAGATTACCTTTAGCAAGCATACAAAGTTCAACAGCACCACAAAGGCTTCAATCACCTATTAATCCCAAACCCTGAAAGTTGAACTTCCTACATAACTTGTCATCACAGAAATAGAATATAATTTTATTTATGCTGCACCTTTTAAACAACACAGTTTACAAAATGTTTTGGCAGACATACAGAAGTGGAATGATCAAAGTGTAGCTTAAACTAAAAATAGGCAGCATACTAATAATAATAAACAAAACAAGGGAAAGCTGATAACCAGAAGGTAATCTTGTCTTATAAAAAAGTGTTTTAGGAAGACAGCCACCAATTTATCTGTTCTTTTTTATCAGTGCTGGCATATTTTATTTTTATTTCTTTCTGAAACCACTGATACTGCACTCTGGGAACTGGAGTTTTTTCAGGGATTTTCAAGGCTCATCATGGAACACATATAGCAGCATTGCTCTGCATTTTAAAGCATGGAAGCCTGTGTTACTTTGATTAACACAGGTCACAAAGTCACAAATCACACAAGTGTTTTTAACTTGTTTTTTGGCCATTTCATAGGCAATAATGTACTTTACGCGGGGGGGGGGGTCTCTTTTTGAGGGGGTGGCAAAATTTGTCTTATGCAGGAAAACCCTCGCTTTGCATGCCGGAGTCACCTGGAGTCCTTTTTTAAAATTTTTGTTTATACACTGTCAAGCGTTTGGCGGTTTCTCAAAGAGGTTTTATCCACCTCCAATGGAAATTCCCTTCTTCCAGTGCTGCAACAAAATGCTTTTATTTTTTAACCGCTTGGTTCATTTGTTTTGCAGCTAGTAAAGCATACCACATATTTTTTGTTTTTAAATCAGTGGTTCAAATAAGGTACTGTGTGTACCAGTCATGCTTAAAGCTAAAGGCCTGCTTCACATAAAATGGCCTTTGGGTCCACACATGGATAATAAAACCTCTGGAGAAATGCTTTTTTTCCACTCTGGAAGTTTATCGGGATGTAAAAGGTGATGACAGTGCCGTTTGTTTTTTTCCCCTCTATGTGCCTTGTATCACTCGGCATCTAAACTCAAAAACTAAAGGTGTGCAAATCTCTGACAGTGTCACTTTAGCCACAGGACAGGAACATAAAATAAAATTGTAAAGGACATGTGCTCCATGCCTTGAATGAGTGAACAATGATGAAACAAAGTGTGGCCTTTGTGAATCCATAGATTTATCCCTTGTAACTGGGGATCAGTACATCTGTAGTAAACCTATGCTGCAGAGACCTCTATAACCTATATGTGCACCTACTTAGAAACATAATTACATATCATGTTGACACAGCCCACAGCTACTGTAATTGGCCTGTTCAGTACCTTGGACTCCTCCTTTGCATTTCAGCTACTTTTGTGTTGCAGTTTTTAAATAAATCGGCGAGATTATAATAATCATAGCCTCAATGTAAGGACTCTCAGATGTCAGCAGTTTCAGGAGGGAGGGATGTGAGGGAATGTACAAAGAAGTTGAAAAAGTTGAGGGTCAAATATGTTTGCCTGTAGAAAAAAAACCCATCACAAAAGTCCCAGCATTTTTTTCTATCAAGGCTGGCACTGCATCTAAAATACCAGGACACAACCACAAGGTAATTAACGTGTAATGCACCACATACAAGCATGAATGCCTGCAGGCGCGTCAGCATAGGTTATGTTATAGGCTGTCATTGCAGAAGGTTAAAACAGCTGTAAGAAGTCTTCTGTCATCATGTGGTAACCATAGACAGCCATCTTTAAAAACATTTTACAAGCGCTATACAAATACAGGCCATTTACCATTACCATGTTTTTTTACATTTTTCAGATATCCAAATATTGACTGCAAAGTTTTCATGTTTTGTACTGCAAATGTAATAATGTACCAAATACTGGTGGTCAGTCTTGGTTGTTAATTATCTGTATCGTCCATGAAAAGTCATGTCAGTTGATTACTAATGTGTCCTTTGAGACAATAAATAGTGATATTGGCTGCCTCTTCAATGAGTTCCTCATCCTGTGGATGGACTTGGACTGCAGCTGGTAGCGGTTGATCGTGTTCTGCTCTATAGCCTCTGTGAGCTCAGAGTAGGAGCACCAGTTGTTCACTTGCTTCGGGTTCTGATTAGCGATGCTTCAGCTTGCGGTGGATCTCCAGATTAGTAGAACGATCACCAGTTGGTGGGGTTGGAGTTAGGGATGGGCCGACTGGGTCCTGACTATAACAGCTGGATCTGATGTCAGTGATGGCTGATGCATTCACTTCAGTTCTGTGTGGTTCTGTATTTACTTCAGTGCATGACAGTAGCTGCTAGTGACAGAGTATGTAGCATGGAGGAGGCTAACAAAGCAGCAGCAGCAGTTCGGGGGTGTTTCATGGCTGGTACACCGCAGCTTTTCTTTGTATGTTTGCAAAACCTTTTTTATTTAACTGCAGACTGTGGTTAAAGTAAGCTGATGTGACTGAAAAGTTCAGCTGAGTTGATGCATTGGCTTCAATCTTTCACTCTTATGTTTGGTCATTATATGATGTTGAAACTAGAGTGATGTTGGTTTGGTTTCACAATGGTTAGAAAGCTTTTATTACACGTAGGGTAACATAAAGCGGCTCAACTCAATTAGAATTTTTTCACTTCAGCTGTTGTCTTGAACAAAAAGAATGACTTGCAGTCTCTTCCTCTGAGATGGAGCTTATTAATATAACTCTGCTACTGGATCAGTACCCTGTATCAGCAGATAGCCACAGGCAAGGTGTTTGAAGCCTACTGAAAATGGAAAAAGGTAGGCTGCATGCATTTTTACCATGCAATGCTACTGCCAGGGAACATTTGCTAATCATCATTAACCAAAGAGTTAGAAGAATGCATGCTACCTACCTGACAGAACAGTAAAAGGTGTCAGATGGTACTCCACAAACAGAGAAACATGCAAAGAGAAAAAAATCTTGTGTGGTGCACCTTTAAAAAGTAAATTGAAACAAGATCCAATGCAAAGGAGCCATTTTTGTTTTTGATTGTGATTAAATGTTCATCTCCTCCTAATTTGCATTTTAAGAACAGGGGTCAAACCTGCTGCAACACGAGCCTTCAATTCTTGTGTCGGACACACTTTCTGCAACACAAATAAAAATGTAAATGTTTTTTCTGTAGCTCTTAGTTTCACTCAGCTTATGTGTCAAAAGAGCATCACAAGCAGTAGCGGTGCCGGCGTCGTCACATATGCCTTTCTTTAATGGCTCGTGTCTGAACCTGACAAGTGGCGTGCTGCTAGTTTGCGCCTTAAAGCTGACACAGCATCTTCTCAGCCTCACCTCAGGCTGCTCATTAATAACATGTCTGCACCGCCTGTCCTTACTTGACTTTGTTAAGTGTACTTTGGTCGCTTTCTGAGGCATGAGGATCATCTTCTCAATTTGATGGGTGTCCAATCAACGAAGCAGCTCTTATGTCTTTGAAGTTAGAATTGAAATATTTCAGGATCTATATTCATCTGTGTGTGGCTTTTTTCGATTATGCTGCTTATCATAAGGTTTTGGCTTCTTAACCTGCTAGAAAATGGAAAAGAAATGTATTTGTTTTCTGTTTCACTCCAAGTCTAAACATTTATTATCATAATTATAACATTTTTGGCTCTTGGAGTTTGACTCACTGTGTTACCTTAGTGCTTAAATGGTTCCAATATCTCAGACTTACAGTTGTCTATCGATTGTCTTATAATAATTAATTAATAAATCCAGAAAATTTACAATCAGCATCGAAGACATTATTGTTCTCGCTGGCTGCTTATAAAATCGAGGGAAAACTTGATCAGCCCGGTTTTACATAAAGTAAGTGAAACTTCAGTGATGTCAGTCCATCCAATTAGGAAGCATAAACCACCAGGAATCCATTTCAGCTGCTTTAGTACAAATCTAAGTGACAACAGGTGCACTGGGGCATCAACAACAAGACGACCCCCAAAAAGGGAATGGTTTAAGCAGGTGTTGATGGCAGACCATTGCTCTCTGCTTAGCCCTCCCAACTTTTTAGGGTTTTTGTTCCTGCTGGTAGCATGAGGCAGTACCTGCAACCCATTCAGGTGTGTGCAGGTTGTCCAGCTCCTCCAGCGAGACACGGCATCACAGGAAGCTTTGCTGTGTCTGATGTTCCCGTGTTGGTGCTATATAACATGGACTATATTTGTCCAGGTTTAACATTGCAAATGATCAATCACATTGCTATAATGTCATAGTTTTGAGATGTGGAAAAATAATCTGCTAGTGTCCACAAAAGTCATAGAAAGCAGGCATTTAGGTTTAAATTGTGTTTGTAGTTACAGTTATGGAGTTGCGGTTTGGTATGTGGTGTGATGGTGCAAAACTATGACATCACAACAATGAGCTCGGTCACTGGCAGTGTTGAACCTGGGACATTAGTTTTGGTGACCTGGGAACAGTACCAGCACGGGGATATCCGACCGTGTGGCGATGCCAGGAGAAGTTACATGAGGAGAGCTCATGGACAGGACCATTGGTTGTTTTGCAGGGACAAAAATAAATCTGCATAATGATAAATCATTGAACACAGAGCCATCTAATGAAACTGTTATGTAAACACTGGCCACTGGTGCTGGTGAATCCCTAACAAAAAACAGCATTGTTTCGGTAGTGACCATGAGGCTGACCTGTTGTGCGATCAGTAATGATGAATAATAGCACATAATGCTCGTCCTTCATCGACAGATTGGGTATCAAATCTGAACTTCTGCAGCTGATTAAGTGCTCCTCTGGCTTGTGCCAATTTGCAGTCAAATTAGTTCTCGCTGATTGCATTTCCCCCCTGCCGATATTAACAAACAATGATGGTGATGATTGCTTTAATGAGCTTAAAGAAACTCGCTCACTGTTCACTCACTTGTGAATGTATATAAATGCCTTTAATTACTGACAGTTGACTTAATGACTTTGTCATATATAAACCCTTAAAGCAAACTTAATTGTTAGTGTATGTAACCAGAGAGAGGCACTGAGATGATGTTCTTAATCAGACCTCTGTTCCTGTATTATGCTTTGAGTTGCTTTTAGTGTTTTAGTGCAGCTGTAGTCAAAACAGGTTCTCACACAATATTATGTTATCAAGGGGCAGAAGTAGAGTTACATTATGATTCCACAGCATGAATAAAACATCAGTACTGGGCTGATTAAGATTGTATTTATCTGACAGAAAGAAAAAGAAATTCATAAAAACAAATGTGCAGTAATTACATTGTATTGGCATTTCAAGTAAGTGCGATCCACCTGGAGGCATTGAGATCATTTATCTGCAGTCAGTTGTATCTCGAATCACCTGGAACCCTAAATGACCTTCCATAGTACTATGACAGTATGAAATTACAAAATACCTTAATGCCAGGTTTATATTTACAGTAAACTGTCTCTGAAGGCCTGCAGCTGGTATTATATTTATTCTTGTGCTGACTGATGAGTTCTACTTTCTGCATGCAGAAGTACTTTAGGGCTGCTCGGTTATGGCAAAAGTCCACATCTTATGGTTTAGTTTTTCCAGTAATTGTAATCTGTATTATTTATTTAGTTAGTTAATTTAATTTATTTCAGAGGTGGAGGCGGTGGGGACTGGATGATCCGCTGTTTACAGCATTGCTGTGAAGGCAATGGGTGCCTTTGGTTCATAATATAAGATAAAACGAGAGCTTTGTAGCAACCGTTCATTATAAAACTAATTGTTTTATCAAACTGTGATTGAAATTAGGCTCTTATTATTGGAAATATTAGAGATTTTTGTTTTAATCGCTGTATGTTTTAATGAAGTCGTCATCAGTTGAGTTTAAGAAGAAGAAATGTGAGGAATGACTTTGGTGTCTCTCTGCTATGAAAACCTTGGAGGCCACGTGCTCAAAGCAAGCTTTTGATGAAGCCACTTATATTCATAAACGGCTTTTCTGCCATACCTGTCGTACCTGCTCACCTCTATCTGATCTGCTCAGCGCAGCAGTGTTAGGTATCACTGCTGAGTCAGATTGAATCAAAAGGTCTGCCCTGGAATGGCGGCTGTCAACTTTGTTGTTGCTTTTTTTGATTTTCAGCTGCAGAAAAGTGGCGGGAATTCAGTGTGTTGCCAACAAAAACACAGTTTTTCAGCAGGGCAACAAAAGAAGAAAGAGAACCACAATTTACAGTAAAGTCACAAACTATTACAAACATAGAAAGAGAAGCTGTTGGCATCACAGGTGTGAAATACCTCGAGACTGCCGACACTTTGCTTGCAGCTTCCTCCGTGCTGCTTTTGCTCTCGTGCTAACAACTGGTGCACTGCTGCTGACACATGGTGAGGCAAACACAGAGCAACATAGAACTGAATTGAATAGATTAGCACATTTTTACTGATACTCAATCCAGCTTTTTGAGTCAGGATTGGAGTGATGCTTCCCAGCTGGAGACCTGTACAGTAGTCATAATTACAACAGCATAGAGCCAGTGCCAGATGTAAGTAAACACCTCAGTCACTGGGTGAGACACCCTCAGAAATCACAAACAAAGGCACTGGGAACTTTTAATGATCCTTCCACCCACAGAAACATTTCGACTTTTGCTTCCTTTAAAGAAGCTTCCTCACCAAAGGTTCTCACTGGAGAACCAAACTGAGTTTTAGAAGCTAATGAGGACAGTTGTGTCCACATTTCTCCCTCTGTCCTCAATCCATCCATCTTTCCACAAGTCATCATCGCTCTGCATCCTGTTTCCTTTCATTTTTATATTCTTAGTCTTTCTCTGTGACACGTATCCTGGGATTTATTAATGCAGACTCCTATTTTTTCCCTGCAGTGAAAGAAGGCATGAAGACATCATCCTAGTCATCAGTCATGGCCGATAAAAGGAAACTCCAAGGTGAGATTTCTGCCTGAGTGTGTGTGTGCATGCATGTGCATGTGTAAAAGGGCATTAGTGAGATGATCAGGTGCCAGGTGGATTAGGTTAACCACAAATTACAATAAAGATCTCATTTGATCTCAATGAAGAGTTTGTGTTATGTGTGTTGCTGTTGGAAAGTCCCCTGATGTTTTGTCTGTGATAAACTCCGCCCATGTGTCACTCTGACCGGAAAAAGATAAATAGTGCACGAGCACACCTATACCTGCTTCGTTGGCAAGCAGTTTGTTTTGCGACCAAAAGTGGAAAATTTTCTTTGGTTTATTTCCTTAATTACGTCACAGTGCTTGTTTAAAAGAGAGCCAGGGCTTGTAAACAAAAGTCACATGTGTTCACAAGCAGCTTGTTTGTGGAGTTACGTAAGTGTTCATCCTGCCAGGTTAGAAATGTTTGGCTTCACATGCAAGCTAAAACAAATCTGGTTTTGGTTTTCTAACTTTAACTAAAGCATGGGAGATTTACCTGCTTTGTTCTGTGTCAAATAAAAGCACAGAAGAAAATACGTACGGGAGCATCAGATGATTGGTTTAATGTGCACAGGGCTCGCAAAATTTCAAAATCCCTGGTAGCCCTTCGGGCAGACACTCTTCAGTTTTTGATAGCCCAAAATAAATTTAAGTAGCCTGAAAAAAAACAGAGGACAATTTTTTGATGGATGTTTTGTTTTGTAATAAAACATCCTTTAAAAAAATAGTTAAAACACAAATTACAACAACTGTATAAAAATTATAATCATCAACTCAAATATTTGGTTCTAATTGAACAGAAATTTCTGTGAACTTGTAAGAACTGTGTAGAACATGAATTAGTCTGTGCCTGAATCTGAAATTTCCACTGAAGTCACGGGTAAGAGGTAAGTGGAACCAAGATCTAGGCCATTTGCTTTGTGTGCAAAGACTGCTACATTTTGCCAAAGTTTGTCATTTTAGCTTCTTTCTGTTTCTTTAGTCTGGAGTCAGACTGGATTCTTTCCTGCCCTCCAGTAAAATTACCTACATAGCTCATTCTCCTCTCAGGTGCTTTTTATGGGTTTGCCTGCTTAAATCAGATTGCCTGACAGTTTCAGATTGCCCTCCACTGTACATCAGAACTAACCACTTTACAAAGTCGGGTCTCTTTGAAGTGTGAATGCACATTTTCTGTTGAGTTTGTGCAATCCGAACATGGATTCCAAACATAACTTGATGATAAGGACAGAAAACCTTCAAGCACATTACTATCGATCTTCTTAAATAGGGTTTCACTCTGCTTTACTTTATTTTCTCTTATATATGTACCATTACTTTGATAGGTACTTATATTTGTCATGTATTCCTGGGAGCAAAAATCTGCACATAAGATAAAAAGGTAATATTTTGATCTGTGAGTTATCCAGATCTACTCAAGAGGAGTTCGTGGGTAAGAAACGGAGTCACTGGGTAAAAATTCAAATGATTTTTGATGCGAGTTACCAACACTTCTTTTTAAATAAAATCAAACTAGATGGTGCTTAGCTTTTTGGTGTTAGTTCAGTGTGCCAAAAAATTAATATGAGAAACTCACGACCCAGTTACTCAGAAAACAAAACCTTTTGTTTGCAGTTTCATGTAGGAACTGTTCTCTACCTGCTGTCTCTGTCTATTAGATGTAACAGAATGGGCAGGATAGGATAGAAAGATCCTTAGTGGATCATTTTATAAAGCTGCCGAGGTTTCTCACAGTTAATTCGGCCTGTACAAGTTTGTCTTGGGCAGAGCTAAAATTTAAAAAGACAGTTCAAAATTACATTTATGCACATTATTACTTTGCAGGAGGAAGTGTGTGTCCATCAGCGATGAGATTTTGCCAAGGTGTAAACACTGATAGCGTGAACTGCCATGTAAGCTTGTTGTCAGGCAGCTCTTTATTTTGGCGACTGCAGGTAGAAGAAGGTTCCTACATGAAACTTGTGGAGTTTTCTGAATGACCAGGTCATGATGATTTATTTTCACCTCAAAGGTTTTGTTTTGTTTTTTTTAAAGCTAAGTGCCATCTATTTTGATTCTATTCAAAGGAAGGCAGGCATTTCTACAGCTGATATATTCAAAGCTTGGTAACTCGCATCCAAGTAATTTGAATGGATAAATTACAATACAAGCCAGAGGGAAGATATGTAAATTTGATTTTGGGGTGAACGGCGTTGTTTTAAAAGTTCCACATCCTTCCTGACTGCATATGTTATCTATTTTTACCTCCACCAGGAAGGTTGTGTGGAAGGTTTGTTATTTGAATAAATAAAAATAACAAATTTTGTGAATTTTTATGTATTTAAGATTTGGATCTGGAGTCAGAAATCCATTTTGCATCAAATCTTCGTAAATAACCATAGAAACTGAAATAAGGCATCATTGGAGACGCTGTTTTGATGTTTTAGAAGAAAATCACAAACTAATCTGTAATAGATATTTTTTCTGGATCCAGGAACTGACTTTGGTGTGCAAGGAAATTTTCAGGCTTGATGTTGACATGCAGGGTCAAAGTGCTGTCGTTAAATTTTTGAGTGAACTGTGTATACACACAGTATAATCATTTTTATTTCCCTCATAAATTTTTCTGTCTCTTTGCATTTCCTGTTTTGGTTTAGTGAAAATGTTTCTACCTGTTTTTGTGCACAGGGTGACATTGCATCCGTGCACGCCGGCAGACATCTGTGCAAAAGTCTGCTCACTGCTCTGACACACTTTCACAGAAACTAGAGCATGTGTCAAGCTCTTTGTTCTATACTTTTATTTTGAAAATTTAAACAAGTACTACCACACTCACAGCTCTTGGATGATAATGCTGGGATAAAATTCTGACACTCACCACAACAAGTCTTGTAACCTGAACCCAGACCTTTGTGTGAATACCAAAAAACCTCGAGGCTTTTTTCTCCTCCCCGTCGATGTCTTTAACTTTGATGGGTTTCTCCAGCCGACGCTTGTCGCCGCAGGCTAAAAAACACTTTTTTGACAGGATTCAGCATCACTCATCCTATCACATGATATTCCCGTGAGTTCTCCGGTTGAACAGCTGTCACATTAAAAACAAAAACCCATATACGTATCCCCCTAAAATGTTGTCATGAGTAAAAAAAGATCAAGCACCAGCACGGCCCCGGCTCTGTCAAATTGTAATGTATTATTACAGAGGAGGTAGACTTTCATCTAAAAATAACACAGCCACGGCAGTATCTTAACATCAAGGCTGTTTAAGGCCAGACTCAAGCTGGAGTTTGTTCACACAACTTGGCTACAGCAGCGGGTTTCTCTCGACCTCACTGGTTGCTGCTTATTTCCTCATCACTCCTGTTATCTTCATTAGCAAACACACAGTGGATCAAATAAAAGTCTGATGTATTTAAGAGATTAGAAATACAAGGGTATGAAATCAAAATGTTACTTTCGTACTATGAAAATATGTCAAAATTATGGTATTTTTAAATATTTAAACATCACTCTGTTATACAATCATTTTGACTCATTTCTCAGGCAGTTACGGCTACAATGTCAGTCTGGTATAAAAATGTAGGAGAAAGGAGACCTGTCATAGTTTTCTCTTGTGACTTATCAGAAAACAGATCAAACATCCAGGGTACCAGTGCTTATTTCTGTTACTCTGCATCATAGACATTAAATTAGTGCAGTTGTTGTTTATTTAGTTCAGGGTGGTGGGTGTGCCTGAGCCTTTTCCAGCTGTCGTAGGGCGAGAGGTGGGGTGGACCCAGCACAGAGCTCCATTCATATCCTGGGTTAAGCATGCAGCTGTGCTAATGGAAATCTGCTATTTTCCATAATATTGATATGTCCCAAGCTGGTTATAGTAAAAGATCCTGCTGAACAAAAATGTGATTGTAGCATTTGGAGTTAGTGTAAACATATTTTTAGCTTGCAAAATTTCACACTGATATGCCCTGTACTTATGAGCTTATGAAGGATCAAAAACACGAGGGAGAATAGGAGGAAGGTACTTTCGGTGGCTCCCTGGATGTTTGATTTGGCGGTGCTGGGTGCTTTCTCTCAAGCGACCACTCATGTGTATCTGGGCTTGGGACTGGACAAATTTCACCTCCATTCTTATGTATTTTGGGTCTATAACTCTGAAAATACCATGAAGGTAAAAAGCTAAAGTTGCAAGCTGGCTCCTAGAGACTCCAAGTCATCACCCTTGCTTGTGAAATCTCATTTTCTTTCTTAAAGCTGAGCATTTTCCATCTCTGCCCTGGGTTTTAGAAATCAGATGTCACAGTTGACGGGCAGAAAAAATGAGGATGCTACACACTCATGCAGTAGTAACCTATCAAGGTTACATGCCCAGTGCATAACCTGCTTTATCATCTGCCTTATGTGGGATTTACAGTCGCCCTGTTTTGCAGATCTATGCAAAGAATTTAACCGACACAGAGAGTACCGAGATCAAACACTGTCCATAAAACATAGTTGTCACTGTCATGTCATCGGCTGGTTTCTGTACTCTGCATTTTGAAACCTCAATGGCTGTGTACAAACTACCACTTTACCAAATGAGCATCATGGTGTGTTCATGGTGCTGCTGGAAATACATGTGAAACATGACAAGTTGGGAATATCTGTTTAGGAGGCGTGGTGGTTTTTGGCAGACCTTTTTCCCTCACTTCACATGTGCATGCATTTTAGTACAGTCTGTGAACTAGTCACACCCTTTATCTGCTGATTTTTGTTTCTGGAAACAAATTTTCCCCTCCTTATTTTTGTTTTCCTGAACACAGCTGTTTGTCTGGCTGGTGTCATGTGTACACTAAATGAATATTTTCCACTTTTAAATGGGGAAAAAGTGAATATTGGGGCTGGAGGCTGAAGGGGTTGGTGGTGGTGTGAAGAATCTCAGCACTCATACCAGCGACCACAGTTTGAGTCTCTCACGGGACCAGATTCTACACTTGGCCTGTGATATTTTATGTTGTTCATTGTCATTAGAAACTTTAAAAACATAAATGGTTAGGTTCAGAAAATATGTAATAGTATTTAAAATTCTACTATGAGACTGGGCTGTACATTTATGATGATCTTGATTTTCCCTGACCAAGTAAACCATGACATAAAGCTGTAATTGGATGAGATACGGGTGAGCATATCATGATTTTCCACTCCAGGACTTACATTGACATTCCTCTGCGGTATGTAAAAAGCAGAATGACTAGGCTGATGTGGTCCAGGTCAGAAATGTTAAAATTAGACTGCAAGCATTTTCCTGTTTACATTTGATAGCCACGAGCTAATCCATGCGACCACAGAAGGGAGACGTAAATCTGTTGAGCCTAAATCTAGACGTGTTTGTCTCTTTCTGTCACTCCCTAATCGCTTCTGACTCTTTAAACATCCACCACACGCTATTCATGGAGCTGCATTTCTAAGATATTGGGAATTAGCTGCTGTATATGTGCCACCACTTGCTCAGGAGCATAATGTGCCTTTTACAATATGCATATTTCATGAGATGCCAGCCACAGTTTTAAGTGCCTTGTTGTTATATGGTGCATTTATCGCTTCTCTTTGTGCCCGACACAAAAACAGCCCTCCAGTGGCCTGTTTTTAAGCTGGAGCCACTTTGCTGAGCAGAACGCCTCAAACCTGGAAGCAGGAATATATTGATGGTAGAAAAAACTCTGGTTTTAATCAAATAACCAGTACAGCTAGAGCTATGATCGGCAGCGTCAGTGCTCATATACTAAATAATTTCCCAAACATGACATTTCTTTTTATTATTCTGTGCTAATGACTACATCTCATACATGTTTAAACACAAGTCAGTTTAACTAAAAAAAGAGGTCAGCGATGCTCTGACGTGATGAATCCGTTATTATTTATACTCTGTTCTTCCCACCTCTTATGAAATGACTTTGATGAGGAAGTCATGTGTTCTGGCTTTGACCTGCTTATACAGCTTCTTTGAATTAGAACGGAGACACATGTCTAATATGCTTTATATGAACTTTTTGCTCTTTTTTGGTCTCCTCCAGGTGAAATAGATCGATGTCTGAAAAAAGTAGCGGAGGGAGTGGAGCAGTTTGAGGATATTTGGCAAAAGGTAAGAAACAATCATATTATTGGGACTGCAACTTTGTTTTTTCATTTTGACTCAAAGATATCCTGCAATGGAGTCATGGTAGGGATGAGAGGGATAATTGCATTTTAATGCTGCAGTCAGTTGGTGTTGTGGCACAGTGATTGTCTGGGTTTATGCTTTACTTTTATATGAAGAGGAGCTAAAGTGAAAATCTAACAGTAAGACGCATTAAACAACTTAGCTGCTATAACTTTGTCTGTAAATCGAGTTGCCACTTAAAAAAGAAGGCTGATATTATTGCATGTCATAGACTGTATCTAATAAATATAGGGGTGATAGCTGTGACATCACCTACTAGTTTTGTACTCTGCATTTGGAAGCTTTCGCTATAGCATGTTGGATGCTGCCATGCTGGTTCTTGAAGCATGTGCGACCATATTTGAGTGAGAGGGTGGTGTGCTAAGTTATCAGCAGGTTAGCAACATGCATTTCTAAGTTACACAGCTTCAGATGTGTCCACTAGAATCTGAGAACCTGGAGTTTTGTCTCAAACACAGTTTCACAGGCAGTTAAGAGAGACGCAGACAGATCTGCCAATATTTTAATCGTGGCTCAAGAGTTGGGAGTTCGCCTTGTAATCGGAACGTTGCCGGTTCGAGCCCCGGCTTGGACAGTCTTGCTCGTTGTGTCCTTGGGTAAGACACTTCACCCGTTGCCTACTGGTGGTGGTCAGAGGGCCCGGTGGCGCCAGTGTCCAGCAGCCTCGCCTCTGTCAGTGCGCCCCAGGGCGGCTGTGGCTACAATGTAGCTTGCCTGTGTGTGAATGGGTGGATGACTTGTTGTGTAAAGCGCTTTGGGGTCCTTAGGGACTAGAAAAGCGCTATACAAATACAGGCCATTTACCATTTTACCATTTACCAAAACGCATTAAACAGAAAATAATATGTTCATACTTTTTTAAAATAAATAGATTTTTTAAACCCTTTTGCTTAACCCACGTGACCAACATATGCCACAGTTAAAGCTGATATGGCTGGACACACTGTGTGATAACACTTTCTAAATTACCCCAAAAAGTTCTAAATTATATTCTGTTACCTATCAGTGCCTATCTGAAAGCATGCATGCATCATATTAATATATATCTGGGGTAAGGCAATGTCAAGTTCTATCCCATATTTACTGAATGTCTTTATTTTGTATAGTCTACAAAGGTATAAAAAAACAAGAAATGTCTAATATTAGAAAATGTTCAGAAAAAGTGCAAATGCTCCACATGAGGTCCGTGATGTTCTCTGTGATCAGTGTTCAGTGCTGACAATATTCTGTTTGCAGTTTTAAAGAAGAATTCAAGAAGCGTGTTTGTAAAAAGGTCTTAAAAATATATTAATCGTTCAGTTATTGTTCACAGATTCTCTGCCAACCAAGTGATCAATTATTATTGACTGCTCGTTCCATCTGTTATCATTCAGGCTCTGCGGGGACACTTTCTCCCTCTCAGGCTATTTGTTGCTAATGTTTCTGTGCAGCATTAGTTTCATCAGACTCCTGCATTTATTAACCTTAGTAGTTAATAAAGGTTGCCATTACCACAACAGGATGTCCAATACTCATGAGACTTATAATAAACAAAGTGAATACAGCTGTTATTAAAACAATGCTTTGCCCAGAGCGCACAGTAGCGCCCACAGTGAACATTGGCTTTGCTAATAAAGAGGCACAAAGTCATTAGCGCATTAACAAAGATCCCAGTTGCCTTTTTTCCCTTCATTACATCCACTTTTTATTGTGCTGTTGGCAGTTGCTGCGTTTCCTTATGACCTTCCAGAAGCTTGTGTTCTTCATAAATACTCATGTTTGTTTGGATGACCTTTGTTAGTCTTATGTCTCACTTTATTACCCATTTAGTTCTTAGGTTTATGTTTTTGTCCTACTTAATCATGTTGTTTTTGCTACGTAATCAGTTAGTAGCACTAATCTAATTAAACAGGATAATTGTGATTTTAAGAGTATGATCACATGCTTTACTTGCAGGCTGTAAAGCTTTCAACAGATTGGATGATTTTTAGTATGGTACATTTTGAAAATGAAGGCGTGCACTGCTGCACTTCAGCTTTGACCCTTTGTCTCCGTCTGTCTCTCTCTTTTTTTGCAGCTTCACAATGCAGCCAACACAAACCAGAAGGAGAAATATGAAGCAGACCTCAAGAAAGAGATTAAAAAGCTACAGGTAAGGAACAAAGGAAACCAGAAAATAAAAGTTTTTCCACTGACAGGTTGTTTGAGGTGTTCTGGGCTCCCACAAAGCTGATTAAATCAGTATAACTTCAGGGTAGATGTGTCTGATTTTAAATAATTCCAAAGTTTAAAAAGTCAGAGAAGTCAAAAAGCAATCTCCATTAAAAGAAAAACATCATTGTCATGTTGAACTTAAAAAACGAACAATAAAACCCCTCCAGCGTGCAAGCCGTCATCAGCAAGGGTAAACAGATTTCCTGGAAGCAACCATTGTTTTTTCTAGAGGTTTTTCATCTACAGTTTGACCAAAAGCTGTAAGATCTGTGCAGTCTTCTGGTTTAAAATGTTAATTTGATTATCTGAAAGCCAGTTATAACTTTTGCTTAGTGTCATGGTGCTACATCAAGCTGGAAGATCCAGTGATTGTCACCAAACCGCTGCTGGATTATGGGAAGTTGGTGTTTAAGGAGGGTTTTAATCTGGTCATTCCTTCGAGACCTCCTGAGATTTGTTAAATGATGCTTCTCCGTAGTCTATATTATGACACAAATCAATATATCTTTTGAATCAACAGGACAGTGTCTCTTAAGTCTGCAGATTTTAACCAGGAAAACAGCCATTCGGTTATTAAAAATGCACTGAAACGCTGGTTTTCCTCTTAAATAAACAAAAGTGACATAGGTGTTTGCCTTCCTGAGTCAGCAAACCTTTAACTTGAGTTTTATTCACAGGTTCAGTGACATTACTGAATGAAGAAGCTGGGAATACACCCCAAACTGTAACAATTCAAAACACATCAGGCGCCACCAGAAAACACTTGAGCCTGATTAGAGTTGTTTTTTTCATAGTTTTTATTATCATGCATCCTGTAATCAGCACCACGTTTGCAGGAGCAAGAGACTCCTCCACTGAAACTCCTCCACCTCTGCAACCGACTCTGCTTTCTGAACCGCCCACAGGTCGCACAAGTTTTGACATCACTGAATCAAAATGAATGGAAATGTGAAAGGGTTGGACCATTGATAAGATTATCCACGCAGACCCTCCCTTTATTGATAACTGATTAACGAGGTGTATTTTAGGCAGACTGGGGTAATGTTAAAGTCCTGTAATGCTGCTAAAATGTACAACAAAAAATGGAATCACAGAAACTTCAAATAACTTCTGGAGGCGTGGAGAAAGCTGCGTAAGCATTTTATGCCCACTGTGAAAATCAAATCTGAAAGTAACAATTCTCTGTTCACACTTAGCGACACATCATAACCTGTTTTGTTTCAATGGAATTTCTGAGTTTATTGTGCCTTAACATGAAAAATATGTTGTTCACTTTCTATTCTCGGCAGTGTAAGTAGGAAAATGCCACTCTGTGAAATGTGCTTCATTTCCAGCCTGAAGACAAGAACACAGGACCAAGAGCATCACAGTCACATGTAGCAGTGACTGTTTTACCTTAATAAGTGACCAGAAACGGACAATAACTAATTGGCTGGAACCTCTTTGCTCTTTTGGCCTCTTCAGTCGGGTTTTGTTTAGTTCTCTTGTTTCTTCTCCTCGCTTCATCATGCTTTCAAGTTTTTCACTTACAAGCACACAAACAAAAATTAAGGAAAATATACAAAGAGCAGGTAGGAATATCCTCCTGTTTTCACTTGTTCTGGGTTATAATTAACTGTTCAGTGTATTTTGTCCTCTTGTTGTCACTGTGGGCCATACTTCCTTTGCTCTCTCCACTTTGTTTGTGTAGATTTCTTGAAAGGAGGAGATCATTATTAGATGGCACCAGTGTTCAGGTGGCTATTTCAAATGCAGGGAGCATAAGGAAAGCTAATTTCTCCTTTTATTTTCAGTCAGACTCACATTTTCAAAGGATTTTTGTAAAAACTGATTCAGCTTGGACTTGTTACCCTGATATCCTCGTTTCTAAGTTTGCATGACTGATAGGGCTGCAGCTGCCACAATAAAAAAACAAGCAGATAGAAGTAAAGTAGAATTATCTTTTAAAATTAGATAACAGCATGGTGACCTTTCCACAGGTTTTCTGGAGAGACAGGCCTCTGGGAATGATTGAGTTGATTTTCTTTTCTTTTTTTGTGGTTTCTGTGAAGTCACTCAGTTTAAGGCGGGGCTATCGTTACTCAGCTCCCGACTCCTTTTAGCACCAGGTGTGAATGGGTTCTAATTTGTGGCCAATCAGCAGTGAGCAGGTGAGACAGAAGCTGCTGATCTTAACCTGACGTCTCTGAAAATGGACTGTGAAGGCTGAGATGTTTGCTGACTTGAATCATTTAACCTGCCACACATAAAGGTGTGTGTTTGTAGTATTAAATATCATCTTGCTCAGCCTGAAATGTTCAGTGTTGTCATGAGGACCAAACTTCACGCCAAGCCTGTTTGCTGCATGCAGACATCATGTTCACCACCCATGACTGCTGGAGAGGAGGCTGCGCTCCTATCACAGACTTCACTGATGTATCTGTGTCTCTCTCTGTCTTTCTCCCTCCTCTCCCGCTATGTCCCCCCCTCTTTTTCCTTCTTCTTCTGGTCCCTCAGCGTCTTCGAGACCAGATCAAGACGTGGGTGGCATCAAACGAGATCAAAGACAAAAGGCAGCTAGTAGACAACCGCAAACTCATAGAAACGGTAAGTAGAAACTGAGGATGAAGGTCATTATGACACGTCCTCCAGGGCCTGTTTACACTCTGGAGGACTATTTGTTTTGAAATCTGGGGGAAAAAAGTCAGATAAACAAGTTTTATGAGATTTTTTTTCTTTCTTTTTTTTTTTTCTCAAATAATTGAAAGTTGTGCTAGGTTAGTGGTCTTTATGGAGCCATTTACCTGCAGTTATCCACTAATACTTGGCCCCAGTAATATTACCACTAAGAGCTAATGAAAAACAGTGCATGTTTTTAATTAATGTTGAGCTTTATTTTTACCTGTTTATATTTTTTGGGGTGGATTAAAGAAAATGTTTCATTGTTTTCAGTTATTTTTGCTTTTTTATATTTTTCCAGCTCTGTCAGTAAATTTTTATCCTTCTAAAAGATGGATGGAGTAGAACTGACTAATTACTATAACCTAATCACAGATATCAGTCTTTACTGGGTCTTTGCTGAATAATGCTGCTTAAAGTTCTCATTGAGGACAATGCTGCACATGCCACAAGCTGCACCAGCTCTTTAGAAACGGATCCTTTGGGTCCAGTAAGTCACAAGATGGTCTCTCTATAGATCAGGCTTGTGGTGTATCCCAAGGATATTCAGTCAGATTGGGATCAGTGAGTTTGTAATTGACTTTGATCTGTTTATGCGTCTTCCTGCCGGAGGAGGCGGCTGTTGTTACGGAGTGCTTAAAACTTATGTCTTAAAAAAAAAGAGACAATGTCCAGAAACAGGATTCCCCGAGGCTCAGTCCTAACAGAGTGTCCCTTTATTGTTTGCTGTACAGTGGCTGTAACTGAGGAAGATAAGTAAAGTTTTCCCGGATAGCAGATTGCCTGTTAGTTTGTGGAAATGGAAAGTTGCAAATTTTTTGAGTTTAGTGATTGTTTTTTTTTTTTTTTGTTTTGTTTTTTCATTAGTCATTGCCTTCAAGTGCTTACAATGCCAGCTGAGCTAGAAGTTTATTTTTTTCTTACATTTCTGTTTAAAATCATTTTGAAATGTTTTAAATGTTCCTTTTTATTGCTGTAAAAATTCTCACTGCACCTTCAAATGCACACAGACGGCGCCGCCTTTAGAAGCTCAACAACAAACAGAAACGGTGTGAACGTGTTGCCAAAATTATTCCCTAGATTACTGGCTCAGATTAAAGAGCTGCGCCCATTTTCATCTGCTCCGCTATCTAACACCTGTCCTCCAGGCCTCGGAGCCACGTGAGCCTTTGATGAGGGCTTTTGAGATGGACTGAATGTGAGCCACCTGCCTGCACAATGAGGGACCTCTGCAACTCAGCAGAGGTCCCTTTTAGACGTTCTTCGAGTTTTCCTGCAGTTTTGTTGGTTGACCTGAAATTACAGTCCTGCAGGAAGCGGAGGGAGCTTGTTAGAAACATGTTGCCTCAACAGCAAAAGATCATTCACAACCTACTGGGTGTTTACACAGAAATGTGACCAAGATGAACTTGCAGTTTAGAGCCGTGAATGCAGGGTTGGTGTTGAAACCGCTGCAGGCAGAGAAGAGACTTTAACAACATTCAGTCACAGACAATATGTCCCATTTATCAGCCGCTAAGAGGCGTTCAGGAGCTCTTCGAGTTCAAGAACTACATTTATTAAAGCAACGCTTTTGTTGGTTTTCAGATTATTTAAGAAATCAGTGGAATAAATGACATTTTCTGCAGTTCTACACACTCAGTGGTCACTTTATTAGGTACAACTGTAATGCCATTTTTAGATGGTTTTCACTGTTGTGGTGCTTTATAATGACAGGTGTTTGGAAAATTATGAACCCTGCATTTTTATAGAGGATTACTCTAAACCCTGAAAAAGGGTTCAACAAATTATAAGAACAAACCTTTGGTTTGTATTCGGGGTGTCAATAATAATTCATATTTAAAAATGAAATATTCATGTCTAGTTCCAATGATCATGTATTTAAACTGGTTTAAAGTTCCAGAGCTCCATTTATTTCCATTTGTTCAGGCACTGTGTCCATATGAAGTTGTGAAATGAAACAAGAGAACCACATTACTCCACGTGCATAAATCTGTCCACTGGTTGTCTCATCTCTGTAGCGTCTCAAGTGTTTTCTTCTAATAGTCAGCACCTGTCACCACTGCTGCACACCTTTTATCTGCACTCATTTGAGCAGCATATAAAGAAGCGCCATCCGGTGGCTGGAGGTGTAAACACAAACAAAGATATTTAAAAACGGCCGAGTAGCAGCAGCGTAATGTTAAAGACTCTCTGTGCAGTTTATCTGAGCTCGACAGCTTAACTACACATTTTATGGATGATTGCAATAAGGTGACAGTGCTGAACTAACAATCCTGTCACAGCAGCAGCTTTTTGCTTCTAGGATAAACCCTCTAAGTTAGACTCAGTTACTCGCCCAGGTGCTGCATTTAAGCTCCTCAGCGAGCTGTACTGTTTTGCCCTGCATCTGGACTTGCAGGCGTTTCTTTAGCTCATACCTGGTCTGATTGAGTCGCTGCAGTTTTGTGCTCTATATTAGCTGCATGACATTTTGTGTACAGACTGAGTGATGAATGCATCAGTGGCATTTCTTCATATCTGTTTAGTCACCTATTTTTGTAAATGATTTGCCTGAGTTAACCTTAAAACGCAAAAGATAAACAAAATTCGGGCCGACGGTTGACTCGTCTCCACATTTATGTGAAAATATGATGGCATGGCAGATTTTTGTATTGTTTTAAATGTCTTAAATCTGAATTCTTAGGATTTTGTTTTCTGCAATTAAACCTTTTTTATGATAATCAAGTCAAATCGAACTGAAGTTGGAGTAATGTTTAAATAAGGGGGCACAATTAGACACAATTAGGGGAACAATTAGATGTTTGTGAAGATCAATATATCCCCGAAAACTGAAGTTGATCAGCTTCTTATTTATTTCTTTGTTTACTTGCAGCAAATGGAGCGATTCAAGGTAGTGGAAAGAGAAACCAAGACGAAAGCATACTCTAAAGAAGGGCTCGGTCTGGCACAGAAGGTGGACCCAGCTCAGAGGGAGAAGGAGGAGGTCGGCACGTGGCTAACGGTGAGCTTCATAATCAAATGTTGTCATACGAAAGATGGGAAATGGTTTGTTTGTGACAGGAAGAGTAGTATTTCTTCTAGATTAGTGTCATCTAAATGCTGTCAAGCATCACATTAATTTGTGTAGAGTAGTACTTTCTAATCCTGTAAGTCTAATCACCCATTTAATGTAACCACTGCTGTAAAGCAGAACAGGCGAGTCGAATCACACGGTGGTGAAATCTGTTCTTATTCTCAAAAGCAGAAACTACTTTGAGTCAGCGGCTCAGTTCATGTGTCACAGCTCGGGTCTCTCATGAGGAAGTTTTCTGCTCGAATTGTTTTTAATTTTCTTTTGCAATGAAACCTGGAACTGAAAGTGAAATCAGGTGGAACTAAAACCAAAATTAAAACAAAACGCCGTCTCAGCTTTCAATGAAAACAGACTCCCATTAATCGACAGCCATTTCTAAACATGACCGTACTTGTGTTTGGCGCTCTATAAAATGTGTCGTCATTCTGATCATCAGAGTAAAAAGGCTGATTTTGAGCAGAGATGTTAAAACAGCGAATCACATAGTTAATTAATAAATTATCTTATTTGTCAGGTTAAAAATGTCAAAATTTGATGGTTTTGTTTTTATACACTTGTTTATTTCATCTTAGACTTAATGGGGGTTTCCCCCAAGTCTCAGAATGGTGGGACTAAACTTGTATGTATATTAGCCCATCTATAATAAAGGGTTACCCTGCCGGGTGGGCAGGCAGTGTGGACACAAGTTTGTAAATGCAGTAACTCAAGAATGAGATGCAGGAGTTTAAAATTGAGTCTATAGGTATATTTCCTAGGAGGCTGAGGAATAAGGCTGGTGTCCAACAGTGTGTGTTGGTGTTTTGTGTTCACAGAAATCTCTTTTTACATTTTTTCTGTGCATTTTATGAACAAAAATATCTATTTTGATTGAATAAATGAAATCTAATGTAATAAACCTGCTTAATTAAATTTTAGTCCATGCTTTGGGAATCCTTCAGCGATGGCCGTGGCTCATTTTCAGGTGTGGCTGCCAAAACATTCCTCCGTTATGGAAAAACTTATGCTGCACGACACATTTTAAACACTCAATGACTTCCTCCTTTTGTTTTGCCTTTTGTAATCTTAACAGCAAAATGAGGCTTTTTAGTTTAATACTTGGTGTTTTTTACATGTTAAGCCTGGGTAAATTTTTTTTTTAAAAACTTATCCGAACCTACTCAATAAGCGAGCGGAGGAAAGTCCCATTTTTCCACTATTAAAAAGCCACTTCTGGATCTAAACATGGTTTGTTTCGTCAGCCGATGATTCCAAACGCCAAAGAGTTGATTTTTAATGTCATCCAAGGTTTACAATGGCAGCAAATATTTAAAGATTTTAATGATAAATTTCTTCAAGAGCCGATCTAGTTAAAGATCTAATAACCAGCTGAGTTTTGTCACACCGCTGCCATGTTAACTTTTAATGTCTTTTCTTGCTCAGAATACGATAGACACTCTGAACATGCAGGTGGACCAGTTTGAGAGCGAAGTGGAGTCTCTCTCAGTCCAGACGAGAAAAAAGAAAGGAGACAAGGAGGTCAGTGTGTGCTCTCATCTCTGATTCATTCATTATTTTCTTCTCTACTCGCCTCTGAGGTTCTTTTTCTCTCAGCCTTCTCCCTCGTCTGTTTACAGCTGACACAGATCACTCGGTCAGCCGGCCTTAGCCTTGCAGCCTTTCTCTCTCCTCTTTTATCTCCCTCTCTGCTACAGAGGTCAGATAGTGTGTCCTCCATTCATCTTCTGTCTCTATCCAGACAAGGGCAACTCTCCTGACTTCCTTCTTTTGGCTTTCGTTTCAAGTCCTCTTCAGGGATCTCATTTATAGAGAAACCTGTGGATGACAGTGCAGATATTGCAAAAAGCATGAAAACTTTCAGATTCCATGTTTGAGTTTATAGCTCATGCTGAAGAAAATACTTTTGTTATGTCACAAAGTGTTTGCAGCCGACTTTGTTAGCCTCGCATTTAGTTGTGAGCACGAATTTTTCGCCGTGGACGTTTCATAAATGAGACCCAGAGGAGTTTATTTTTATCTGTATCTTGTGCGGTTAGTTTAGCTGGCCAAAAGCGTAGGACCGTCTCTCTCAGCAGAGATCTTCAGAGTTACTGTTGCACTGTACTGCTGCTGTAAGATTGTGGTTTTCAGACCAAAAGTTTAAGGCTTAAAATTTCTTCTGGTATAAAAATCTTCACACAGGGTCTCTCTCTCTCTGTTGTGCTTTGTACTTTGATTTTTAAATGTTCAAGATGCAAGAAGGATGAATTAAAAAACAAACAAACAAACAAGCTACAAAGTGTGTGCAGAGATAAAGAGGGGTTCTGGTTAAATCTTACGTTTATAGGCCACTAAGTTGGCTCCTATTAGGACATTTTGCACTCGCCACTTTAATAGGTCCTTACTGATACTGAGCTGGACCTTCTCTTGCCTTCAGAACTGCCCTAATTCTTCATGGCATAGATTCATATATTGATTGCGTCACACAGTTGCTGCAGATTTGTTGGCTGCAGATCCCCGACATAAATCTGCCGTTCTACCGCATCCCAGAAGGGAGCTCCATTAGATTGAGATCTAGTGATTGGAGGCCATCTGAGGACAGGGACATGTTCAGAAAATCAGTTTCAGGCTACTCTGCACAAAGAGGAAGTACTGGCAGTATAAATATTTCTTATTGTTCTCTTTGGATGAAAGAAGCTCATGACTAAAATTTTTAACATGTTTTTTTATTTTATTTTTATTTTATAATTTACAGGATACCTCTGGTGATGTTTTTTCCTCTCACTGTGAGCGTGTTGTGTTCTTCCAGCTCTGTTGTTGTCCAGAAACTATTAAAAACTCGAGTCCTCCGATACACACTGCTGCATTAACATCAGACACACACACACTCTTTATTTTGTTCTGCTGCCCCAAATACTTACCAGAGCACCAAATGTGTTTTAATCTACAATTGAAAACGATTTGCTGCAGACTGCTGTAGCCGGACCGAGGAATTCATACAAAACTCACAACTTATTTTTTATTATTTTTTTATTTTTTATTTTTTTAGATTAACATTACAATATACATTATATTTTGAGTCTTTTAAGGCTTTATTGGGATCAAAATAGGGAAACAAAAAATAAAAGAAAACAATTTGTTTTATTAATGTTAGAGCCAAATAAACTTGTATACAGGTTTGGACCGTTTCTTAATTACACTTGTGGTCTGCATACTCCTCATGGACATGAATGTCATGGGGTAGTTTTGGATTTTCCCATTCAGAGTATTGCTCAATGCAGTAAGTGCTGTCAAACAAATCCTTCATATCTTTGAGGCTGTGTGGATTAGAGAAAACAAACTTGTGCAGCCGATTGTTTTTAAACTCATTAAAGATGTGTGCTGCACCATGATGCCACCCTGGAACAGTACAAGGATGATCTCATTAAATTCATGCTTCTAAGTACATATAAACGTCTGACTACAACTGTAGCTGTGGCACAGGAGGCCAAAGAGTTCAGGTGTATGTTGGAGGCTTGTTCATGCTCCTGACTGTTCTGGTGCAGCGTTAAAATGCACTAAGGTGAAACATTAACACGCCACACTTGGCTGCCTGCACCAGCAGCCACACCAGACATTTCCGTAAGAGTCCTGACCGCCTGTTTTAACAGCTGCTGTGTTGTTATAATCACACCAGCCCAGCTTGCTCGTGCACTCTTTTCTTTTATTCCTCAGAGGTATCTGGGTGTGTTAGTTTTATCTAAACTTACCTCTGGACAAAGAAACGCAATACATGGCTGAGAGCTCCAGAATATGTATGAAGCTTTAGAAATAGCAAATATTGAAGTAAGAGGTGCAGTTATGCGTGAGCTAGCTTATATGATGCATTAAGCCATAAAGTGCACATGTAGCAGCACGTTACGCTCGCACAGCCTTATAGCTGTCAAATGCTCCGGCTGCTGTTTGCTTTTTATTGTTTCAATTTTTAAATATGTAACATGATTTTTTTCTTTTTTTGCAATAATGGTAGATATACATTTGGACCTTTTTTGTAGTCAACAGTAAATAATTAATGTAGAGAATTGGCATGCTCAAACATGTTAAGAGATTTTCATAACACAGATATAATCAAAGTTGGGACTTAAGCAAATGAAAAAGTAGATTGTGGGCCTGTGTTGCCTCCTTACATTACTTAAATTGCTGTTTTGTTTTTCTTCTTCTCGCCTATTTCTGGTTGTACAGAAGCAGGACCGGATTGAGGAGCTGAAGAAATTCATTGAGAGGCATCGGTACCACATCCGGATGCTGGAGACGATACTGAGGATGCTGGACAACGACTCTGTGCAGGTGGAAGCCATCAGGAAGATCAAGGTCAGAGGCTAGAGTGATTGGTGTTTTCTGTCCTTTTCTCAGTTTTAAACATAGAATCAGCAACTAAATGTTTGTACAAAGGCACAGTTTGTGTCCACAAGATCTTCTTCGGGTGTTACTTGCAGAAATAACTTATTCTAATTTAATTAGTGTGCCAAACTTTTCCTAAAAATTAGTTTTACGGCCTTTTTCTTTGTTTTTCCATCAACTAAATGAAATATTTATACAAAAAGTGTAAACCTTCATCAGATGAATTTATTTATATATTGCCACACACAAAATTAGTTTAAGAAATGTTGTATACGAAGCTTTCTTGTAACTGTCCCTTCTATCTGCACTTTCCTCAGGATGACGTAGAGTATTATATCGACTCGTCGCAGGATCCCGACTTTGAGGAGAACGAATTCCTTTACGACGATCTGGATTTGGAGGACATTCGTAAGTAGAGAAGGAACCGGGGTTTGGTTTCTGAATTCACACTTTTTATTTGTTTACGTGTAATTGTGTGAATGCCGTGAGGCTGAAAACTCCCTCAGTTTTCAGCCGATTTTCACCATTCAGATTTTAAACTGTTCTGCTCTTTCTGCTAATGCCAGCTATATCTTTTGGCGCTCGTAACATTTATACTTTTTGAAATATTAAGCATTTTATGCCCTTTTTTTGGCCCCTTGAGATGAATGGGACCACATCACAAGTGTCTATGCTGATTTAGCTCCCCGCGGGTGGGCTGTGTTTTAGCTCAGTGAGATGAGCACCCGTTCTCAGAGCGGGAGGCCCGGGTTCAAATCCCACCTATGGCAACAATTTCTTCAGCTAACAGTTCAACTTTGTTTTTTTGTTTTTTTTTTAGTCTTTTCAACACAAATTTCAGTTTCTTCACCCCTTTTCAGAAGAAAGTTCAACAAGTTCACCTCCTTTAAGCAGAAAGTTCAGCTTTTTCACCTGTTTTCAGCACAAATTTCAGTTTCTTCTGCTCCATTTTGGTTTAGTGAGATGAGTAGCCGCCTTGAGACCAGATGGCACAGGTTTGAATCCTACCTGTGGCTGCTGCCCCACATCTTTTCCTCTTGCACTCGCTCCACCCTTTCAAATAAAGCAGTTTTCACCAAAGAGATAAGCTTCTACGCCTCTTTTCAGCAGATAGTTCTGCTTTTTTTTTCAGATTCCACTACACAGCATTCACACTGCATTTTCACAGGAAATGCAACTTTTTCTAGTTGCACGTAATATCCTCCCCGTATCCCCAGCATCCTCCTCTGTCACACCAACCATGTTTTCCGTCACTACATCCATGAATCTTCTCTGTGGTCTTTCTTTTTTCCTTCTGCCTGTCTGCTCCATATTCAGCATTTTCTTCTTCCAGTCAATCCAACGTCTCTATTCTGCACATGTCCAAACTCATCCTTTTATATTCTCCTTTCTAATCCCGGTCACTTCCAATGGAAAATCTTAACCTTTTTGACTATATCATATATACATCATATATTATTAAAATGGCCCAAACCACAGTTTTTTTTTGTATACTCAGGTTTAAACATTTAAACCTACCAAAGTCTTAAAGGCCTTTTGACTTTCACTGACCTCCCTCTCTGCCTCTGCTTTCTCCAGCTCAGTCGCTGGTCGCCACTTCACCTCCGGGGCACTCGCACTTGGAGGACGAGATCTTCCAGCAGTCCAGCAGCACACCCACCTCCACCACCTCATCTTCACCCATCCCCCCGTCGCCTGCTACTTGCACTACAGTAAGAGAACTTTCCCCAGAGTTAGCTAAAGCTTCTGTTATGTGTGTGCTTTTGTCTGTGCTAGCTGTGCACTAATAAATAAAACACTGAGGGCTTTTTAAAGTCATTTAAAAAGGATTAAGAGTAATTTGGACCCCACTTGTTGCTCACAATCATTCAAGCTTTTCTGCATATTATTTGCATCCTTGATGTTCCCGTCCCCAGTGATATGACAATTAAAATTACTTTAAAAATCCAAATGAATAAATTAACCTGCTGCTTTTCCACCAAAAATAATCATCCAGTTTTATCTCATCACTGACTGCTGAACCTGTCACTAATGGTTCTATTGAAGTAATACTGGTAATCGAGGGAAATTAAGTCGATTGTTACACTCAAGTTGAGTCAATATCTAAAATATAAATGAAAGATAATTGCCTTTGTAGCTTTTGTAGTGCCCTGCCATCTGCTCTCATTGTTCTGTTGCGTTGCCTTTATATCATCTGTTCTTCCTATCCGCCCACACACAGTATGTAGTGAGAGCAGTTATTATAGGGCTCGTTTGTCTGAATAGAAGGCGTGGTATTGTTCCGCGCTGCTGATGAGAAGTTACACCGTGGCATTAAAGGGAATGTAAAGGATGAGGAAGGTCTTCAGTAGGCTGCTCTGACTCGGCTGTGAAGGTTTCTAGAAGTTGTTGAGTTTGTTCGACACAGACACATACATGATGATAATGAGACGCAGTATAAGTTTGGATGTTTGCTTTACCTTAGAGTTTGCACTAAAAGTCAAATGTAACAAAACATCTGGGAGTCCCAAACTACAGACGGCTGTTCTACGAAGCAGAATCTGGAAGTTTTAGTGTTCCAGAGGTAGTTAATTTTATTAGCATTCACTTAAGCTACAGAGCTAATCGGTTCCAGAGCAGATCACGTGCAAGATAAAAGATCAACGCATGTATAACCACCCCCTACTGACCAATCAGTGCTCCAGAAAATTGCATCAGCATTCATTGTAGAACTTGTTGAACTTGATGCATGGAGGGTATAAAGTTTTTAAAAACCATCAAACATCAGGTTTTTTAATTTCTGAGTTGATACTGATCTCCAGTAAAAAAATGTAGATTCAAAGATGAAACTTTATTCCTATGTTGTTGTTGTTTTGTTTTTTTTCCCCTCAGTGGCTGCAATTTTTAAAGTTTTATTGATCTGTAAGGCTAAACATATATATATAAAAAAAAATCCTAAAATAGGGCACCTCTTGTACTTGCTGACCTTTTGCACATAGTCTGAGCCTCAGTTTGATTTTTTTTTTCTTCTTTCTTTCAAACATTAAATCTGTACTTGCCCTGTTAAACACTGTCACGGCTGCAGCTTATAAAATACAGCTTACATTGTCTTTACCATAAACACGTCTAAGCAATGATAGAGCTGTGATACTGATAAGTCTGTTCACTTAGTCTGCCTCTTATGTTCTGCCAAAGCACTTACAATATATATTCATACAGTGTTTTTTCTTCTTCCCATACATACACTCGCTCTACTTTGGCTGTAGCTGCTGTGTTGCTTTCAACCTGTAGTATGTGTTCACTTTGTTTTATTTTTGCGTTGTGCTTTGATTGTCTTTATAGGGTTACTCGCGCTGCAGCCAATTTTTAGAAAAATTCCACAGCTTTTTCCGTGACACACCTTTGTGTTAACATGCACACAGGAATGGGAATGTGGCAGGATGCACATTGCAGATAGTGGGTTGATTCTGATGTACCAACATGTACACAGACTAATGTTAATGTAAGTGCACGCTTCTTAAATTGAGGTTTACTTTGCATGTTTCTGCACACAGTGCAAAAATCTGAAATGAAAGATGATCTCCATTTTCCCATACACATAAGCAGCATAAGAATTAAGCAAGACTGAGAAGAGAAAAATGTGCTCGTATAAAGTTGTTGATGGTAAATGCAAATTAAATATAAAGTGCATTAATTACTTAACTGCAATGGACAGCTATGGATACTTTAACCAGAAGAATTAAAACATGAGACCCAAAAAGCTCTGCAAAGCTTAAATCTGCTACTGCCTGCTTCCCACCCCCCCACCCCCTTCTTCTTTTCTTCTTCTTTTCTTCTTTTTTCACTTCACACACATATTTGCATTGGCGCATATGAGGATGACAACCATGGTGTTTGTCTCTGTGGCCCTAATGCCATGTGTGTTTTGTTTTTTGTTTTTTTTTTCAGGAGAACTCGGAAGATGATAAGAAGAGGGGACGTTCGACAGACAGTGAAGTTAGTCAGGTTAGTGTGAAGATGCCAAAACCTCTCCCAGTAAAGCAGGAGTGCCGAAAGCTCCAGGAACATCATTACCTTCTGAGATTATCATAAAGTGCTGCAGTTATCAGTTAATTTTCGTTAAGTAAATAGTAAGACGAGTGTGAAGGTCATAGACCGCATGTAAAGCCTATGTAAGTGCATGCCTTAAACCAAAGTCCATCTGGACTCTGGTCTAACAACTCTGGAGTCATCTTGGAACCAGTCTGATCCTAAACAAACTAGGAAAGAGCCAGAACCTCAAACCACAGTATCCAGAGCACCAACACTGCTCAACACACCACAAACAAAAAGTGTAAAATTTCTACATCTTTACTAAAACACAAGAGTAGAGGTTTGCTACAACATAGCTGAAACTGTCATAAACATCTATGGTCATGCACCGGGGCAACAACATTAATTAGTATGTACTAATATGTTGCCTGTTTTTACTACTTAAATTTTAAGCCAACCACCTTCTTTGCTACTGCAAAGATTTCTATTCAGGATTCTTTGAGTCTCCTCACATGACGTGTCTGCTTAAACCTGCAATCTCTCCAATGTCCTGTAGGGGGCGATCCCTCTGGTTGCAAAAAGACGTCTAGTTCTACATGTTAAAAAAAGCCTTCATGGCAATGGCAAAAACACTTAGGTTGAGACTTGACAACAGGATTCTTCATAATGGCTACACCTTTTAAATACAGCCAATGGTGACAGCTATATATAAATGTTGCACAGTCTCTTTATCTCCTTCATTGATGACTAGCAGGGGAAACAAAGCACTATCCTTTTCCTGTTTTAAGTCCACAAATGAGCCTGAAATTTTCATGGAGATTTTTCCCTGAAATCCCCAAACAGCATACTTATCTCATCTGCTTTAAAATATATTGTTGTGTGGGTCAGTCCCTCATGTTCAATCGAATCTTTGACTTTGGTTTATGATTTGTCCTCAGCGATAAATGAGCAGTGTTCATTGTACTGTAATTAAACAATGATGTGTTATTGGGCAAAAAACAATTGTTGTCCATCAGATAATGGAGCAACAAGAGCAGTGCTTTGAAAAGTCATTGATTAAGACATCAGGTTAATTTTTAATTAATTCATGTATTTTTTTATATTTTTCAGTCGCCTGTGAAGAATGGAAATCCCTCCTCTTCGTTATCCTCTTCTTCCTCCTCCTCTGCTTCGTCTTCTGTCTCGGGACTGACCTCATCTTCAATGATCTCTATGGCGACCATGGCTGGGGGAGGAAGCAGTAGCTCTGGGGGCAACAGTCATCACAGCAACTCAGCAGGTCATCTCACCAACACTTCCGCTGGCAGCTACAGCAACGCCACCCAGCAGCCGCCGCACCCGTCAGCGCAGCAGCAACAGGCCAAAAACTCCGTTAGCTCCTCTTCCTCCACCTCAGCTCCTATCTCCAACTCCAGCACCTCCACCAACAGCCACCCTGCCTCACTGGCCGCCTCTCCACCCAATGCCAGCACACAGGAGCTCCGTGCTTCAAATTCGCAGCCGCAGGCTCCATCAGGGTCCACGCCAACCTCCAACAGCCTGGGCCTTAGCCTGGGCCTCTCTTTGGGGAAAGGCATTTCGGGCGCCGTCACCACCAGCCCCATGTCCGGAGGCCTCGGCCTGTCGGGGATGCCGGCATCCCTGACGGGCACCATGGCAGGCCTTCTGTCCAGTAACACCCCTGCACCCTACGCTCAGGCGGTCGGCTCCAGCTTACCAGGCTCTTTGGGTGGAGTCAGCACAGCAACGACCAACAGTGCTGTAGGCTCCATCGGCAGCGGGAACATGACAGTCGGCGGGCCGACATCCTCGACAGGTCTGCTGGGTGCAGCGCCGGGCGTGGTTGGCTCTGGGATTCTGGGTTTGGGCTCTAGTCAGTCAGGGGTGCAGGGCTCATCCTTGGTGTCACCGAGCTCGGTGGGAGGTTTAGCCCCAGGTAGCGGAGTAGGAGTCATCGGGAGCAACGGAGGCAGCTCGGGATCAGCAGGGAGTGGAGTAGTAGGAGGAAACTCGCTCCCCGTCCGACCACCGAGCCGACAGAAGCAGAACGGTAGCACTAGTGAGTATCTAATGTCTGCGTTTTTCCAGCATCTGTAGAAATAAAGTTTCAGAGAGAAATTACACCTGAGGATGATTTCTAAGTGCATTTATGTATTTATGTTTTTATTACAGGTTACAGTGCTGTGGTAGCAGACAACACAGCAGACTCCGCCCTCAACAGTGCCAGCCAATCGCAAAGCAGCCAACCCTCATCTTTGACCTCCACAGCCAATCAGCCGTAAGTAGCCAAAGCAGCTGGTTAGAGGACATGATTGTTTTTATAGTAGCATTTTAATGAAATTGACTGTCACCACTACCCTCTCCTTTTTGTTAGACTTTATTTCTTATTTGTCTGATTAAAAATACGCGTACAAAGCATCCTTAGAGCCGCTCAGATTGCATAGCTAAAATGACTGCATTAAAGTCTTCCTATATGCACTTCTAATTAAAAGCCTTTTAACCTTCGGCCTGCACAGGAGTATTTGTCAAAGGGGATGTTACTGTGAAACTTCTGCTGCTTGTGGAAAACAAGACTTTCTGTAACTTCTTTAGATTTGTGCTCCTTTTTTGACTGTGACCCCAGCCTAAACTAATCCATGTTTCCTATTTCCAGTAAGGACACTGGTCCCAGTCTACTGGGCTCTATGAGTTTGTCGTCCAGCTCTCCATCCCCGGCCTCTTACAGCGAGGCCAAAACGGTGAGCGGCAGCAACCTGTTGAATGGGCCAATGTCCTACTCACAGCAGTCCTCCGACAGCATCAAGGTGAGACACATTTGAACATACGAAGGTGAACAGCTATGTTTTTAATCGTTTTGGGGGGATATGGGAGTTTGGGATTTGAGTGTTGTTTGCTAACCTTCACAGACATTTTGCTAAGAGAGCAACTTAATCTCCCAAATCTCCACAGACTATTAATTTGCATGCAGACACAATAAGAATGGCCTTTTGCTTTAATTAATTCGTTCTGCCAACAGTTAAATCCAAAGGGGAGATGATTACAGTCTCATTACTGCTGTTTGTTGATTAACAGAGCTGTTTAAAGCAAATTTCAGCAAACACTGAGAGAACAGTGCCAAAAATCAATAAATGTCGACACGGAGGAACCAAATACCTGCCAAGTTAGGTTGGTACAGTAATGTTTTAAAGAGGTATGAATATACACCGATCACACACATAATGACCCCTGACAGGTGAAGTGAATGACTCTGATTATCCCTTCATCATGGCACCTGTTGGTGAGTGGGGATATCAGGGACCAAGGGAACACTATGTGCTCAGAGTTGATGTATTAAAAGCAGGAAAATTGGGTAAAAGTACAGATTTGAGCTTCAGAACTGGACCACAGAGCAACAGGAGGCCTGGTATGATGAAATGGCTTTCTTTTAAATCTTGTGATTGCTGCGTGTTTGTGCCGTGCTTACCTGGGGACCATCTGGCATCAGGATGTACTATTTGAAAGAAGGCAAGCCAGCAGAGGCAGTATGATGCTGTGAGAAATGTTCTGCTGAGAAACTTTGGTTCCTGCCATCCATGTGGATGTTACTTTGACATTTACCACCTAACTAAGCATTTCTGTAGGCCATGCACACCCTTTCATGGAAACTGTATTCCCTGATGGCTATGGCATCTTCAGCAGGGTAATGCATCCACCCACAAAGCAAAAAATGGTTCAGGAATGATTTGAAGAGCAGAACAATAAGTTTGAGGTCTTGATTTGGTCTCCAAATTCCCCAGATCTCAATCCAGTTGCACAAGTGTGAGATGTGCTGGATAAACAAGTCTGATGCATGGATCCCTGACCTCGCAACTCACAGGACTTGGAGGAACTGGTGCTAACATTTTGGTGCAGATACCACAGCACACTCAGGGGTGGGGTTGAGTCTGTGCTTTGACGGATCAGTGCAGCAGAAGGGGGGCAAACAGAATATTAGAGGTGGTCATAATGTTGTGCCAGATCATTGTAAGTTCAAAAGTGATCTCCAATTATACAGTGTTTCCATGGGGATATAAAAAAAAAAAAGAGTAAGATCATTTGATTCTTGATGAATGAAATGTTAAAGCTGCAAAATCTGAATTACTGAAAACTTGCAAAAACAACAGTTTTTGCTGGAGATTCTGCAGCCCTGTGAATTTCATACAAACTTCCTGTTGTATAAAATTTCAAGGCGGTGTAAATCTGTAACGGAGCTTATAGAGTCTTTACATAAAAGTGAAGTTGAACCATGGCGACAATATTTAATATTTATTAGTATCAGGAGAAAAGTCTGTGGGATCATTTTAGCTGGTAGGTATTCGAGACTCAGTGTGAAGTGAATATTTTACCAAAATTGAAATGTTTAATTTGCCCAGTGTGAATTTCTTCCATTTCGTATCTTTGCATACGCAGAATTGAGCTCGAGTTAGCCTGTGACTAAACGTACTAATTTCTTTGGCTTTAAGTTCAACTTTATTTTTATGGAATATGTTAGACTAACCCAGTGGTTCTCCAACTGATTTTGGATGATCTGAGAAAATATGGAGAGTAAAGTAGGACTTTTGTAGGGGATGTACAGAAACAAGAGGTTTTTTGATACTAGAGTGCTGACCTCCTTCACTGAAACTCATCTTCGATCTTTTTATATTCTTCATGATTTGGCACTCCATAAACAGTCTGAATGGCTGCACTACAGACCAGTCTAAAGTATCTTTGAACCCCCTGGATGTGCCTGCAGACACAAGTACACACAACTTTAGGTCCACCACATAAAACCTGACCGCAGTCAACACACCAAACGAGAACAATAATTTCTCTATGGATGTGGTTTTAGTCGATTTTGTTTCTTGTAGTAACAAAAATCTCTGATCTAAGAGTAAATCACATTATTGCAGTATGATATTGAAGGACACTCTCCAAGCTATCCACGTACTTGCGAACATATAGTGCATTATTTTTGTTGTTGTTTCGTCATGTCATCTTGAAATCACTCCTCAAGCTGCCTGACGCTACGTCACATGCATCTTAGGAAGGGAGGGCACAGGAGCAGAGAAACCAAACAGCCCGAAAACTGAAGTCAAAGTGATTTCCATGACAACATTATCAGTGGTGCGGGAACTCGAGTTCCTGTGTTCAAGCAGGTATGATAACTCTGTGCACACGTCCTGGAGAATCTTTTTTCCCAAGTGTCTCCTTGTCTGTCCTCATCAGCCCCAAGAGCCTCTGAGCAGCCTCAAGTCCATGGCCGAGCGAGCAGCAATGAGCTCAGGGATCGAGGGAGATGTGACCTCCCTGCACCTCACCTCAGGTAAGACACACACACACACCTTGATAAAAAGAGATGGAGGGTTACCATAGAGCAGAAATAGAAAAGCTGTGTTTTAATGGAACAAAATGTCATCTCACCTCCCACTCTCAGCCGCCTCTGAACAAAAACTGCTGATGATATTATCATCCCTGACTCAACTCCACTTTTCTTTCTCTCCATTTCCAAAACCCGAATCCCTCTCATCGTCACTTCCCCTCACTCTTTCCTATTCAGAAATATTCCCCAGCAGCACTACGGCCCCTTCAGGCCCCCCATCAGGACCTCAGCCCTCGCTGTCAGAAGTCAGCATCCCCCCATCGTTGGGGGTGTGTCCGCTGGGCCCGGTTCCCCTGTCCAAAGACCAGGGCTACCAACAGGTCATGCAGGAGCAGGCGTGGACGCATATGCCACACCCATCCGACTCCGAGAGAATCAGGTGCAGTGAAATTTTTACCACCCACCTTTTCTGCAGTCAGAAAAAGCATCGTTATACACAACACACTACAGGCAGCTTCACAAACAAACAACTGTTTAAATTCAGAGGAGGCCAGGGTCAAGTCAGCTGTAAAATAAATAAATAAAAATAAAATAAAGCCCATTTCTTTACCTGAATCTAAGAAGACTCAGTAGTTCACTGCGGTACAACAGTGAGTGTCTACACTCATCTGTAAAACATGGTGGAGACTCTGTCATGCAGAACTAAGTCGTACATACAGAAAGTCAGATTTGCATCCTCTATGCAATATAACCTGGAAGGTTACTCACTGATAATGTCTTAGTTCTGCAGCATGTCAGTGATCCCAAACACATCCCAGTGCAGTATATTCAGTTCACTGTGTTGAATAAAGGTGGTCATACCAAATATTGACTTTCAGGCTCATTAGTGCTGCACTTTTCTTCCCTCATATACTGTTTTCCACTCATAGCATAGAATGAAATGACCCTTTGTTATTGTACATGCACAACAAAACTGTGGAAATTCATGTTTGTGCACTTTCCAAACATAAATAAATCACTGTATCTATTCCACATTTACCCATTTACAAGTGACTTAACTTTTGACCAGCACTATACACTACAGTTGTTAAAAGATCTCCTCACAGTGACTCTATCAAAACATCTACGGATCAGATTGGACAAAAGCGCCTCAGCTCTTTGTGTAAACAATAGTAAAAAATATTTAAAAGAGCAAAATTCAGTCAACTGAAGTCAGTGGGAGAAACTGCAGCACAGGGAATAAAAACCCCACTGCTTTATTCGATTTGTGTGTAGTACCGTCTGATACTGGAGTGCTCAGTAATGTAGCCCACCTGTACACACACAGTCATAATTGCAGAAGTGATTATATTGGTACAG